ACCCTGAGATCATGACCTGAGCCAGTCAAGAGCCTGATGCTTAACTGACTGAGCCACCCCAGTGCCCTAATCATACCGTCTTTGATGAAAAAAATCTGCTGTCATCCTTACCTTTGTTCCTCTCTATATGTCTCTTATTCTCTGGTGGCTTTTAAGATTTTCTTTCTATCACTATTTTTCAGCAATCAGATTAGAATGTTCCTTGGTGTGCTTGAAGTTTGTTGAACTTCTCGAATGTGCAGGTTTACAGTTTTAATTAAATCTTGAAATTTTTCAGCCATTATTTCTTCAAATATTTTTTCTGTCCTTTCTTCTCTCTCCCGTCCTTTGGGAATTCCAATTATGCATATACTAGTTGACCTGTATTTGTTTCATAGCTCACTGATGTTCTTGTTTGTTTTGAGTCTTCTATTTTTGTTTCATTTGGATTGTTTCAGTTGTGTGTATTCAAGTTCAGTAAACTTCTGGAATGTCAAATCTGCCATTAATCCCAGGCAGTGTACTTTTTATCTTAGATATTGTAGTTTTCATCTCTAGAAGTTCACTTTAAATCTTTTTTATATCTTCTATATCTCTACTTAACATAGTCAGTTTTTCCTCTATTTTTTGGACAAATAGAATACAGTTATTGCAACTGTTTTATTGTCCTTGTCTGTTCATTCTAATATATGTGCTTTTCTGAGTCAATTTTTACTTATTAATTTTTCTCTAATTATGAGCTCTCTTTTCCTTTTTCTTTTTAATGGCAGTTTTTGATTGAATTTCCATTGTAAATTTTACCTTGTTAGATGTTGGATATTTTTGTATTCTTGTGAGTATTATTAAACTCTGTTCTGGGATGCAGTCAAGTTTCTTGGAATCAGCTTGACTTTTTAGTTCTTCTTTTTAAAATTTGTAAGTCAGAATCAGTTCAGCATTTAATCTAAGGCTAATTTTTTTCCTCCTACTGATGCACGACCCTTCTGAGAACTCTACCCAGTGCCCTGTGAATTATAGGTCTTCCCGTCTGGCATTGTGTGAGAATTTGGTACTCCTCTCTGTCCTTTCAGGTGGTCTTTCTCTGCCTTTGGGTAGTCTCCCCACACATATGCACTGACCATACATATACTAAATGGGGACTCTCTAGATCTCCAGCATTCTGTCTGTGTGCAGCTCTCTGCTGAGAACACTACTCTGTGAACTCTAGCCATCTTCATCTCTCTAGTCTTCTCAAGACCAAGAAAGAGATGACAATGTCATATTAATGATTTTCCTCTCTCGTGAGGAAAAAAAAGTCCATGCTTTTCTTTGAGCACTTGAAGCAACTTCAGTCCATATTCTCAACTTTTAAATTTGAGCAATCACAGAGCTCACTTCTGTAAGAAGTCTCCTGTCTGTAAGAATCATTGTCTTTTGTTGCCTGGTATTTGGTGTCTTGAAACCATTGTTTTCTATCTTTTCTCCAGTGGCTTAGTGATTTTGGAGGGAGAGTAAATCTGGCTTCTATTAATCCATCTAGGCCAAATGCAGAAGTTTTGAATTTTGTATTTAGCTCTCATTTTTTTCCCCAAGGTTTGTATCAGTTGTTATTTCCTGGCTATATAGCCTTGGCAACTTAACCTAACTTCTCTGAGCCTTATTTTTTTCCATGAGCTACCAGGAATAATAATTTTATAATAATTAAAATTACATTTATGGAAAGCACAAGGCCTGGCATATAGTAAACACTAATACTGGAGGCTACTTTTATTATCTTGATTAAGGATTTAAATCAGATGATATTGCAGGCCATTCTAGATCTAAAAGTTTGTGATCTTATTAATTCAATTTTGAAAATTACATGCTATAATTTTTCAAATTAAAGTGTGCTCTCCATATTCTTTTTAGCCATACATTTCTTATGCATAAATGTACAATGATATTTTTATGACAAGTTCTTCTCTGTCAAATTTTGTTATTTTACAAGTTATTCTTTTAAGTTTCATTAATAGTACCCTAAAACACATTAGGGATTACTCAGCCATTTGCCCGTTATATTTTGAAGGAAAATTTGAGATTTTTTTGTTTGCTTCCCTTTGATGATAGAATTGACTATCTCTTGAGGTAAACCCCAACCCCACTACCCTGCATTTTCACTATCAATTCAGCTGCTCACCTAGGAAGGTTCTGTTTGTTTATTCAACTATTGACTTTTAAAAGCTCTACGCACTATTTATTTATTTATTTATTTTTTCTACGCACTATTTAAAATGAGGTCAATAGTAGTACAATTCTAAAATGTTCCTAAATGGGACGATATTTTAGTAATAATCTGACAAAATATTTGGCTGGGATTTGTTTATCACACTAAAAAGTAATAATCAACACATGACTATCACTTAATGTCAGCACTCTGGCTATAGGAAATTTTTTAATTACAAAAATTTTAACTGAAAAGTAACAACATTGTGCATTTGGAACCAATTTTAAATGTTCAGTATGCACATTAATTTATTTTCTTCACATCAAAGAAATACTTGAAATAAAAATCTATGGCAATTAGTAAATATGCAGTTATTTTAAAATGTGCCATCCTTGTTGCATAGCAACTATTGATTCTATTATGTGCTTTTTACATACTCTAAAATAATTAAGTACAGGCACAAATTGCTATCTACTTTTTTTGAATGTTAAAAGCATTTAAGTTATGAAGTTTATTCTAATATGTATATTATATATTTGTAAAGGGAACACTTCATTCCTACACAAAGGCACAGTGACCCAAGAAAGAGATGACAATGTCATATTAATGATTTCCCTTTCTCATGAGAGGACTTTTTGGGAACTTTTTATTCATAGTCTCAATAACTAACACAGCCAAGACATAATTATCATTCCTTGGCTTTACTGGTCTGGATCTTGATTTACTGCTAAGCTAAATGATAAGATTTATTAACAAGAAGTCATGTCCTCTCAACAAAATGAAATGCCCATTTATATCATAGAAAATTATACATGCCAAAATGCATCTATGATAAAATTAATTTATTAGAATGATATCATGGTCTTAGCAAGAACTTAGAAAATCTTACATAGGTTTGTTTTCATCATCAAATTAACATCATGAAGCAAGATCATAATGCTTTTATATGATTAAATGCTAACACTAACTTGGTCCACTTGCTCTGTCAGTAACCTCATAGACAGGGTACAGTGAGCAGCAGTAATAGAGTAAGTAGATTGTAAATGCAGAGACTTCTCTAGTAGATTGTATCTGAATGTCCTTCACGGGGTGTGACCATGGAGATAAGGAACTTCTACACAGCAAAGGCAGGAAAGTTCACTCTGTCAGTCTAAGAGAAGCTCCGGTGTCTGAGGGAAGGGAAGAATCTGTGGATTTCTATTCACATTAATTCCATCAGTGAAATTTCTGCATTAAGAGATATTTACAATATCTCTTCATACACACTTCCAAATTGCTCTCCAAAGGGTTGCTATAACTTCCAGCCCCTTAAAGAGTGAATATGAGAGATTATCTCACTAGACTTCATCACAATGCCAAAACCGCTCTATTAACTGGATGGGTTAAAAAATAATCTCATTATTTTAATTTGCAATTTTTGGATTGCTGAGTAGGTTGAGCCTTTTTTTTTTTTTGTATTTTCAAACATGGATTCATAAGGATGGAGGAAGTGAATAAGAACAGACTAGCCAACTGTACCCCAAAGCTAGTAAAATTAGAAAGAATTTTTTTAAATGTGGGCTTTAGAGTAGAAGGAAAAGAAAAAGTCCATGCTTTTCTTTGAGCACTTGAAGCAACTTCAGTCCATATTTTCAACTTTTAAACTTTTAATTTTGCCTGTATGGAACTATTGTTATAGTGATCACTTCTCTTACAGAATGAGTGTGTGATCCCTGAGGGACAAGGAAAGTGAGTTGTTTTATAGAGGGCCAGTAATGCCTCAGTATGGCCAACTGAGAAAAGAATGGAAATGAAAGTGAAAAATTTAGAACAGACCTGAGCAAGCAACAATCTCTAAAGGGTTTCGATTTGGTGGATGGTAGGGCGGAAGAGTCCGCGTGGAGATGTTAGTTTGAAGGTGGCCACTGCTTGTCCCTTGAGGTTACAAGTTATAGGGCCTAGACATCACAGAGAAGAATCTGGTAATAACCAAACAGCTTGTCAAGACTTTAGTCAAGCAATCTGAATTTCAGTAGCCAGCTCTAGTTTGATGTGCAAATTTACAATGTTATCAGAAAACCAAGGATGAGGACTAGTGCTAGGGAAGGTATCAATTGGGCAAGAGAAAGAGGTAGAAAGGTTCAGGGCATTGTTCAGGGTACGGCCCAGGGACCAATCAAGGAGTATCAGAAATTTATGGCAGGGAGATGATGGCTGTAAGCCTCAATGACTAGAGCAGTACAAGGCCTGAGGAGGTAGAGACCAATAATTTTTAGAATATTATTTGTATCCTTTAAAATTATCAAAGTAATACATATTTACTACTGAAATCTTGAAAAATTTTAGAAAGTTCAAAGACAAAAAAAAATCAATGCATTTTTCAGTACTCTAAGAGAAAACATTTTCTTTGCAAATAATGAGTTAAATTCTTACACATTTTACTTTGCCAAGTGTTCATAACTGAGTAATTTTGCCATTTTCCATTCTCTTGTAGTATCTTATTAAAAGCAGAGAAATTGTAAGAATAATTGAATATTCTTCTGCTTTTAAGGATGTAGTCAAATGAAGTTTCTGTCACTTTACAGGAACAAGGTAAATACTTAAAGATAAAAATTACATTTTTACATGAGAACTAAGGGCTATCTTAATTTTACGAGATTTCAAATTCTATTCTTACCGTTTTATTTCCATTATGTTGTTTGATATTTTGGAAAAGACACTTATAAGCATGTTTGGTCTAGGAAATTCCAGAAGGAATCAAAATGTGCATAGAAGCAAAGATCCCTGGAATAGTCTCCTGGCAAACAGAATTTTTAAAAGCAAATAAGACACACGCAGATGAAAGCTACATTATTGTTACCTTCTCTCTCCAGTTATCATCATTCAGCAGCTTCTGTCTAAGGGTTTCCTGCAGCTGCTCGATGCTTTTCTGATGTGAAATCAGCATTAATTCCCTGAAAACCATAAACCCAACAAATGAGTCAAGACCCTGACACTCTTCCTAAATTGCACCTCCTGGCTCAGGTAATAGTATTTCACAACTTAGTCTGTTTCTTCTCTTTAGCAATATATATACTGCCACTAGATACTACTTGTACCATTAACAGCAATTTACAAACACTACATACAAGGTAAGTATTTTTCTCAGGCATAATTTTTGCTTATTAAGTTATTTCCTTTGCATGAAATAGTAACAACATATGTGGAGCCATAAATACCATAAAATGTTACACATTATGGTTTCAAAGTTTATGACTAAATTCTAACACTAGACAATATTTTGTTTCCTAAAAAAAGGAAAATAGGTTGGGATATGCCATAAAATCAACATATGTTCACGGTTCTTGCTAAATTTATTTTTCTTATACTTGTCTTAAGTACTGATTGGAACAGACCAAATGAAACAGAAGGTAATGTCTGAGATATGGTATAGTATAAAACATATTAGAAAATTGAAAAAAAATAAAGAACATTTTAATATTTTAATCCACATAAATGGATCTTAAAGTTTAGTTCATAATCCCCTGGGTGGAAGAAAGTGCAGAAGATTCGTTAAGAGCATTTCACAGGGGCACTGAAATTAAGCTTCTGAATATCACAAGTAGTGGCAAAAGCACATTTGTTGATCAGGGATCCTTCCCTTTTCTGTAATGACCATGTCTCTCCTTAGTTTTTATATAGGTGATTCTTCTCCATTGCTTATTCCTCTTCCTAATCTATTTGTGTTCCATTACCACTCTATTCCTTTTAGCTCTGACTCCTTTCTCAAAATTGTGGCACTCAATTACAACTGCTTATTGGACATTTCCACCCTAATGAATCATTAATACCAGATACATTCAAAAACAAATTCACCATCATCTCCTACAATATTGCTTTCCCTTTTGACTTCTAAAAATCTTCAAGAGTCAAAATCTTTGGTTTGAAATCCCCGAGTTTTCCCTGACTCTTTCTTCTTCTTGTCCCACCATATCCATTCAATACCAAATTCTCTATTTTGCTTCCTGAGTGCTCCTCAAACTATTTCCTCTCCTCCTTTCCTACTGCCAACAGTCTTTTTAAGGTTCTTGACTTTCTCTCACCTATAGCACTATAATAGACTCTCAATCTACCTCTTGATTTCTTTTCTGGTCTTATAATTAAACTTTTTTTCTTACCTAATAAAAATAATGCCAACATTTCTAGGCTAGAAAAACTTAAGGACACAAGCTTAAGAAGACATGTTGGACTTGGTAACCAGGATTATGAATATCATTTGAGGGAAAATGATGTTTAAAAAAACTCCCCAGACTTCTCTTTCTAGAAATGTGTTGGACGAGGTACTTTGAAACTCTCCTACTGAAAATAAGTAAACATTTTTTTAACTTATAAAAAAATATCTTAAACTTCATCAGTGAGCTGGACAAAAAGTAGAAAGGATGCAGAGGAAAAAGCTCAAGTGAAAGGACAGAAAAAGGATATGAGCGGAAAACTTGAAATCTGAACAAGGTCTGTAGTTTAGTTAATCGTATTACACCAATGTTAATTTCATAGTTTTTACAGATGTGTCCCTGTTATTAAAAATGGGCCAAACAAGGGCAGCCCGGTGGCTCAGCGGTTTAGCACTGCCTTCGGCCCAGGGCATGATCCTGGAGACCTCAGATTGAGTCCCACGTCGGGCTCCCTGCATGGAGCCTGCTTCTCCCTCTGTCTGTTTCTCTCTCTCTCTCTCTCTCTCTCTCTGTCTCAAATAAATAAATAATCTTAAAAAAAGGGGGGGGGCAAACAGAAACATAAACTCTCTCTGTATTGTCTTTGTAAATTTTTTGTAATTTCAAACTAAATCTTAAAAAAAAGAAAGTAAAAGGAAGAACCCCCAACAATAAGTAGAGCATTGAAACCAATTCTTACCTTGAAGGTACCTTCCAAATCTGATGAACCTGAGCTTTAAATTTCATAACCATGAAGGGCTCAGGAGAGAAAGAGTAAAAGGAAACTCACCTGCATGAAGCTGCATCTCAAAGAGCTGCACATGCAGTTTATGTGTGAAATTCACACCTAGTATGTGTAAAATTCAAACAACATCTCTCAAGGTACAAAAAGAAAATTACTACTTTTGAATTTTGGTGCTAGGGAGAGGGAAAAATATAAATGTCTCACAAGAATTTATAAACACAAACTAACCCTAACACAGGTTTGTATTGTGAATTCATATAACCTGAGTGATTCAAAACGCTTCATGTTGAAAGGATATCTTCAAGTCATAATAGGTTAACTTTGCCTCCAGACGCTGATAGAAAAAAAAAAAAACAGTACTTTTGGGAACAACCTATCTTCAACGTGGGACTCAAAGATTTTCTACAGTTATAAAAGACCTATGAAATCATGTTTTTTTTTATTTTTTTATTTTTTTTAAATGATAATTGACCATTTTATTTTTTTTTAATTTTTATGTATTTACGATAGTCACAGAGAGAGAGAGAGAGGCAGAGACACAGGCAGAGGGAGAAGCAGGCTCCATGCACCGGGAGCCTGACGTGGGATTCGATCCAGGGTCTCCAGGATCGCACCCTGGGTCAAAGACAAGCGCTAAACCACTGCGCCACCCAGGGATCCCATGTTTTTTTTTTTTTTAAATCACAAAACTATAAAAGAAAAAAAGCCAGTAAGAGAATGAGCAGACACAAATGAAAGCATAATCAAACTCATGAGTGTTGAATTTTCAGATACAGAATATAGAATCAGGATATTCAAGGAAATAAAAGATTTATTTAAACAAGATTTAAATAAGAAATATAAGATTGATTTAACATGAAATATGAAAAGAACCAAATCAAACTTGTAAAACTTAAAAATATAATAATCAAAATGAAAAACAGTGGGTGGTCCTGTAGCAGATTATTCATAGCTAAAGAATGAATAAACTTAAAGGGAGATTTAAAGAAATTTTATGGAGTAAAATACAGGAAGTGAGAAATACAGAAAATATAAAAGAGAAGTTGATACATGGAGGACAGAGTGAGAAGATCTAATATATATCTATTTATTATTTCAGAAGGAGAGGAGAGATAAGGGAGAGGAAGCAATATGTGAGGGGACTATTCTAGAATGATGAGAAACACTAACTCACAAATCTAGGAAGCCAAATGGATTCCAAGCAAGATAATAAAAAATGAATCTCCCATCAGGGCCTCTGTTGGTAAACATGAAGAACATCAAAGTTAAAGAGATCCTAAAAGAAGCTGGAGAGAATAAAACCATTATCTTCAAAGGAACCCAAACATATTGAAAGTTTATTCTCCAACACAAACAAAGGAAGTCAGACTGCAAAATAATATGTTCAAAATCTTATGAGAAAATAACCACCAACTAAAGTTAGGTACCCAGCAAAACTATCTTTCAGAATGAGACAGACAAACAAAACAGGAGTGTTTACTACCAGCTAAAGGACATTTACAAAGGAACCTTCTAAAGAATATGCTTTGCAAGAAGGGATAAGATCTCAGAAGGAAGGTCAGCATGCAAGAAGAAATGTGAGCAAAGAAACTGGCAGACACATGTAGGGAGGACAACTTCTTGGGCATATGGTCAAGACAGCTGTACAAAGCCCATGCTCAGAAAGGGATCCCATGCTTCAGAATGAATGCTTTTTGGTCACCATCATGAAACTCTTAATAATTTTATCTTTAAATTTGTGTTTTATGTGAGGTCTCATGGGACAATTGAGTATGTACCAGGGGCTTGGCTTGGAGCCTTGGCTCAAACACAGTCCTACCTCCTACCACCTCTCAGCCCCTGCTCCTCAGCCCTTGCCCAGCCTCTTCTGCCTTCCTCTGCTTCAGGCATGGTCTCAGGTACAGGCACCTGCATGGGAAGGGTGGGGTTTGGGCATGTGCACTCGCCCTGCTCTGAATCATAGGGAGGTGTACTGAGTGCCTGTGAAAGCCTGCATCCGTTCCATGATGTCCCCAGGCCCCAGGGAGCACCACATTCAATAGTAATCATGAAAACACCATGCCAGGTTGGAAGAGATACTTTGAAGTCAGGGAAAAAAAGCTTTGTAGCTTTTTGAACAGGAGATCCATGTTTTCATTTTGTACTGGGCCCTGAAAATTATGCAGCCAGCTCTGCATGCGGGTGATTATAAACAAATATCTGCATAAAATACAGTTTTAACTATGTTTAATTAGTGGGGCTAACAAAAGGATAGAACTAGAACAATAGACAAAACTGTAGACTATAAGTTAGAATGGCAACTATCAGAGCTCAAGAGTTCTTTGGCCCTTGCATGGTTGGGAGTTTGAGATATTATTTTTAGACTTCACTAAGAATGCATGGTAAAATTTCAAAAGTGACCACTTAAAGAATAGAAATAGAATATACCATTAGAGGAAAAAGCATAAAGAAAATAAACTCCAAAAATACCCCTCTACCCAAAGGCCCAAAAAGTAGAAACAGTGCAGAAAGGAAAAAAAAATAGAAAGCTTAAGGTAGCAGTCACATTGATGGCAAATAAATTAAACTCACAAGTTAAAAAAGAGAAACAGGCCTGATAAATGAACACAGCTGAGTTCTTTATCAGAGGCATTCTTAAAACATAAGGACATGGAAAGATTTTTTTTTAAAAGATGTAACAGAAAGAAAAAGTATAAAGAAAAACAAGTATGCAATTAAATTAATATTAGACAAAGTAAACTTAAAGACAAAAGTCATGGGCAGCCCAGGTGGCTCAGCAGTTTAGCGCTGCCTTCAGCCCAGAGCCAGATCCTGGAGACCCGGGATTGAGTCCCATGTCAGGCTCCCTGCGTGGAGCCTGCTTCTCCCTCTGCCAGTATCTCTGTCTCTGTCTCTCTCTGAGTCTCTCATGAATAAATTTAAAAAAGATATTAAAATAAAAAAGACAAAAATCATTATTCTTGGCTTCTAGTGAGACTAGATTAATTCACCATAAATAGTCTAAATTTATATGCACCTG